TTTAGAGGCCCCAATGGGGTCAAAGTGGGTAGGTGACTTCGCAATTTTTGTGACTTCACGACACGATATCGAATGATGGAAACACGTTTCTAGAAAGCGCATTTACCAATTGAACACTGTTTGTATTCGATTCAGGCGTGAATTCAACTGTTGAATACTGAAAAAAACACATTTGTTGCTTTTTTACTTTTTTTATTCGTTTACTAGCATAACATGTGTGATAACAATCAGCACATCGCGTATCGCTCTCTCAATTTGATAATGTTATTTTGTAAAAATAAAATAAAACCGTTACTAACTGTAAGCAGCGATTTCCGTATATTCATCAGAACGCTGTGAAGCACAATGTTATTATATTCAACAGATCCAGAACCTTTCAGAGTTCTGTTTATCCCTATCGGAAGTTCACTAACATGAATCATGAATTACGTTTGAAATTCCATTTTTGACAAATACCATTTCCAATATTTAGGTAAACCTTGTGACGAAATCATTTAATCAAATTTCCAAACTCTACCGTATAGATGCCGCTAGAGCATCATTTGCTGAATATCTTCCATTTACGATTCATGTTGTTGATTCATCAATTATTGCGTTAAAAAAACGTTTATTCATCAATTAAAAAAAGGAAAGTGTATGATCCGATCAAGATAGGATGCTTTAAAAGAATTCAACAAAGAACGGTGAAACGAGTTTCACTTTGAAAACCATTTATTATAAAAAAAAAACAAAAATACTTAACACTTTGACGGTTCTTCACACTTTTTACCTATTTCTGTTCTTTGGGGACTCCAGGGTCCCATATGTACTTCATATGAAATCTGGACTGTGATAAGAGATAACAAAATAGTGTCTGAGGCAAAGTTGTAATACTCGAGGTTTGCTATAATTTTGCTGCAATAAATATTGCTTATCTCTTATCAGTTCCGCGAAAAACGTTCCCACCTCGTTTTAGTGAAGCCGATAAGAAGTAAGAGACTTGCCTCTTCGACAGAAATGTAGAGCAGGTCGAGTACTACAACTTTGCCACAGACACTAAGTCGTTATCTCTTATCAGTTACGCGAAAAAATGATAAGAAAAAATTCGCGGTTTTCGCGGTTTCCGCGTAACTGATAAGAGATAACGACTTGATGTCTATGGCGAAGTTGTAGTACTGAAGCTGCTCTACAACTTTGCCGAAAATCATCTTGTTATCTCTTATCAGTTTCGCGGAATACGCGAGAAAACGCTGAAAACCGCGAAAAAAACGCGTTTTTTCTTATAATTTTTCACGGAACTGATAAGAGATAACGACTTGGGGTCTGTGGCAAATTATAGTACTCGACCAGAGCTACAACTTTGCTATAGAAACCATTCCATTATTTCATATCAATTCCTTGAAAAATGAGAAACTATGATTTCGCGTTTTTCAAGTTTTCGCGACTTTTCGCGTAACTGATAAGAGATAACGACTTGATGTCTAGGGCGAAGTTGTAGTACATAAACTTGTCTACAACACTGCCACAGACACCAAGTCGATATCTCTTATCGTAGTCCAGTTATAATATAAAATAGCCATGGTCCCAGCTGTGGTCCCCAAAGAACAACAGCGTAACATGTTTTTCGGAAGGCTGTATTTTACACATACTCACACATATGCATATGTGCGTGTGTCATTCGTGTAGAGAAATGTTCAATCTATACAATGAGACTTAACTCCGGTTGGATTATACACTGTTTAGTACTTTTATTCAACTTTAAATTTCGCTTGGGGCCCTGGATTCCCCAAAAACCGTAATAGTGTTAATAACGAATATGTGATCAATATCAAACAAATAGGTGTTTTCATGAGAAATGATTCTTTGGTAAAACCATATGAAAAATGAGTTTAGAATTACTGCCCCAAGAGGTGTTGCAATATATATTTGATCCGTTTTATTCGATTGCATCAGAAGAGACAGTTCATTTAACGGTCATCAATTAATCAAATTACAAATGACGCAGTTCAGCCATCTATCGTTCAAGTGTTGCTTATCATGTTTCTGCTCGTTCATATGCATGCGATTGAATTTATTTTTCAACATGAAATGCAATCACATAAGAAATAGAAGTAGAAATGTTACAAATTAAACAAACTTGACATAAATACTTGAATAAACAGCACTTTTCTTGTGCCACAATTATTACTATGTTGGGCAAGATTTGGAGTTTATTATTGTCATTTTGTTCATACATCACTTTACAGTTCACTTAAAGGATTGAGCAACATATTTGAAAAAGAAAAGTGTTACAAATAATTAACAATAAAATCGTATATTCAATTTGGTAATCGGCATAAGGTTGCATAACTCTCTGTATCGCTGGGTAAAACATCTTTGTAAATTTCATAAACCCGTTTCAAAGGGCACATTACATCACAGTTTAAAATTTTCAGTGGAGCTGTTTCCGTTGGTGTTCTTCTATAGAAGAACTGAACAAAGTACTCTGCACCACGTTTGTAAAGCTCAAAATACATACTGGATGCGTACGGTGGAATGTGCAACTATAAAATAAACAACACAGAGTCACGATTTGGAATTCAATATGAACAGAGAGTTACATTACATCTTTAAAGAAGTTGAGGGTGTTCAACACGTTTGCGATGGTCAAATTGTGGGCTGAGTATATATGAAGTGAACGTTGGAGTAGCGATAAAGACTTGTTTTTAAATCGATCCAAAATTTCCTTGAGTAAGAATCCAGCCTCCAGTTTTTTCATTTCCTTCGTATGGCTAAACGCTTCATAGTAAACGCCGGCCAAATAAGCCAACGTTCGATTTGAATTAAATGCCTTTTTCTCCCAGTCTCGCAGCCTAAGTGAATACGAGAAAAACAGAACTGAACACAAATCCACATAAAATATCGCAATTAAATTAATCACTCACGCAAAACCTTTTAAATTTTGAACAAAAAGTGTGTCGTATAATATTGTTAGAGCTTCCAAAGTCATATTCTGTATTCCAGAATTTTTTCGCAAAAAATCAATAAAATCTTTGTGTTCTCGCATTAGCGATTTCATTTCAACGGACTGCAAATACTCATTAAAGTAATGAGTGAATCGTGGGCATGATGTGGGCACTGGATATAAAAGATAATCGGATTCCAGTGCAACTGTATGTACGGGTATCGGTTGCCATTTGAAAGAGGCTTGCCAAACCTGTTGCCCCGTCGGAGGATACAGTCCAGCCAAATTACATTGTGCGGAAATCAGTGTTCGATCGACATCGGTGCTTCGAATATACACTTCGTTCGGTAAGTAATACTCGCTGATTAGTTTTTTCAAATAGCGCCTGCGTATGTATTTTCCCAATTCATATTGTTGTCGTTTTCCAACCTTTAAAGAAGAAGAAAAACTGATAAAATCAACTAATAGTTAAATGTTTTCGCTGTTCATATTACATTGGTAAGGGCTCCGTAGCCACCAGGCCAGTACTTTAAGTCCGAGTATTGATTTTTCGGAAACGTTCCGACGATATTACGATCTCCATGACGGTACAAAACATGGGCGAATATCAGTTGATACTCTCGAGAAATACCAGCAGATGCATTTCCAATGGCAGCAGAATTTATTGGAAAATGGATACAGTAGCCAAACTCAAAATTTGATAAAACCAAAATCAAAATGAATCCAAACAAAGCAATCATTTTAATTATAATGTCAAAGGAATACAACACTTGAATGAATTTACAGATATTTATACCGAGCTTATATTGAGTCAAAATTTTTATAAACGAAATAATTTATATAAACGCAGATAAAAGTCACAAAATAATTCCTTGGAAATAGAATTCTTTGCCACCTCAATCTATAAATTCAACCATAGAGAGAATGACGCATTCACAGAATAATCAATTCGTGAAATGTTAAACACACTCACGTCCATACATCCAATGATTGTTTAAAATATATCCATGACTCGACCATTCATTATACAGGGTGTTTCATAATTATTGCACGATATCTCTGCCACACATTCCATGGCTCACGAGGAGTAAAAAAGTGTATGGACACTTTTCTGACAGGGGCTATTTTGCGGGGGTTACAGCCTTTGGTACAACTTTAATTTGTGTAATTTATTGATTTCACCTGTAGATGGCGCTCGAAATCGAAGTTTTCAATTTAGCGATTTTTACTAAAGTAGCGGTATTTTTCGATTCAACGCATTGGCTTTACTTGTTGCTCTTGACGCCCTCTAAAATTTCCTTGAACATAGCAGACCGATATCTCCAATAGTTTTTGAGTTATACCCTTGTATCTGGGACAAGGGGGAAACTACTACTACCGCGTAATTCATATTAATACAATCTAGTACAACACAAATTCTGAAAAATTCCAAAAAATTCTGCGCAATTCAAAACAATTCCAATCAATTCCGATGTTCCTTAGTCAAATTTGGTGATGATCAACTCAAAATATCGCAAATATAGGAACATTTACCATTCATTTGAATGCATATTGAAGATTTTTACTTCCAGAACATATTTGACTTGGTTTGATTTGCAAGACTTAATTCTAGCTCTGTTTTCTATTTTGAAAATATTTTATGTATCATAAAGCCTTTACCTATTTGAAGTGAAATATTGAATTGGAAGTGAGACCTATGTACAATTAAAAAAGCCCTATCTGAAGTTATTTCGATAAGATTGAACATCTATGCGCTTAAGCATTCCTTTGAGATGCTAAATGACCCTATATTTGCAATTTTTGAAGTTGATCATCATCAAATTTGACTTAGAAAAATCGGAATTGATTGGAATTGTTTTGAATTGCGCAGAATTTTTTTGAATTTATCAGAATTGGTGTTGTACTAGATTGTATTAATATGAATTATGCGGTAGTAGTAGTTTCCCCCTTGATCTGGGAACCTTCGAAAAATGAGTACCAATGGCACCATTGGGTCGCAGTTTTCTTGGGTTAACGGCAAAATTGGTTCCTGCAACTTGGCATACCGGCCTGAAATTTTACGATCTATTGATCTGTGATGAAAAGATGACACCTTAACAACGCATAAAATTGAGATAATTCACTATTTTCATCAATTTTTCACAATTTTCTGTATGGGTTAATTTTAACCCCTTCATCCAAACTTTTTAGTGTTTCTGGGTTGGATAGTCTAGTGGGCCTCAATATCTTTCCAATGAGCCAACAATCATGTATTTATGTCCAAACATGCGCTCACAATAGCCGTTGGCATGGAATCAGGACGAGCTGACCCAAAATGTACCAAAGGCTGTAGCCCCAGCAAAATAGCCCCTAACAGAAAAGTGTCCATACACTTTTTTACTCCTCTTGAGCCAAGGAATCTGTGGCAGGGACATCGTGCAATAACTATGAAACACCCTGTATATATAATCAAATAAAAAAAACTTCTTTCGAAGTAATCTCTCGTGACGAAAGCGAACACGAAACAGTTGATATCAATTTTAAAAAATCATTACGGAGCGATTCTGAAATTAGTTGGAAGAATGCAAAAAAAGCAAATCTGAATCGCTCCGAAATGATTTTTTAAAATTGATATCAACTGTTTCGTGTTCGCTTTCGTCACGAGAGATTACTTCGAAAGAAGTTTTTTTATTTGATATCAGTTGTTTTGTACCCGAAATTTTTTTTCTCAACAAAACCAACTAACCCTTAACAAACACAAAGTGGTGTGTATTGAGCCAAAAAAAATGAAACATGATATGTTGTAGTTAAAAACCAGCATTGTCGCCTTTTTGAATAAAGCAAAATCAGCGCGAAGGTCGGAAAGCAGACTTATAAGCGTGTGGACCCGAGTTCGAGTCGCACACCGGAGGAAAAAAAAATTTAAATTTTTTTTCGTTAAATAAAATTTGGTTTTTGGACAGACAGATGAAATTACATTTTGTTTTGATGAAATTACATATCGCTTTTATACTAAGAAACTATCACATGTTTAGTTTTTTCATGATGAATTTTTTTGATTTTGATTTTGATTTTTCCATGAAAAGTACTTTTTTGTATTTTTTGTTGATTGCGTGGAATAAAAAGACTTGGTGAGGGGCTTATATCTGAAGAAATTTTATTCATCTGAACGCAAAAACACTTTGGTTATGATTTTGCCCTTGTTAACGGCAACAAAAAAGAGTTTTAGTTGGATGGTTAGATTTTTGTCGATTTTTCATGTTTTTTCCAATTTCTAATGGCTGTTCTGTATTAAAACATTTGAGTTGAGTTGTGTTTGAGGTTTATTTTACAACTGATTGAAACATTACAAAATACGCTTTATATATACTAATGGTTGCTGTTCAGTTGACCTTGAATGGTCACGTAATTATGCTTGTCAGTTTTACAAACATAAAATAGAAGATAATTACGTGACTTATCAACAAATATTCAACTCTTCAAACCATGTGAAGTATGAACATTTTGGGGGCACGAAAAGAGAGAAAAACACGATAACTTAAGATTAACTTAAATCTATACTTAATACAATTTCATCTCTAATCAACATGAATACAGTGTCGGCAAATGTTAATATGTCTCCTTCAAATAAGTCCAGATCTTCTCCTACGATGATTTCTTGGTTGACCATTGTTCCTTCTCTCGATTGATCGTACAACATAACGGAATTCGGGAAAACATATATCGTGCGTTGGCCTAAACGGTTCTCGCCCGGGTAGAGTGTGATTGAACGTCTGCTCCACTTCTCAACGAAATCTCCGCGGATCAATAGTCTCCATGATGTTACTTCCATACTGCCTTTGATGTTGGTTGTAAACGGGTTTTCTTTCGTTGACTCTCCTGGTCGTGGCACCTTTTGTCGAAGCCACCTATGAGCCAGGGCCTTTCTAGCGATACTTCATTCATACCAGATGGCCTCTTGGGAAAAAAGTTCGAAATTGCGTGTAAATATAGGCGAGTTCGACTTTCAGCACAAAGGTGCTTTCGTCACTCGCGCCTGCTTTCGTCGGCTGTGATATTATTCAAATCGTGTGCAGGCTGTTATTTTTAATACCATCGGTATCGGTTCTTGCTCGATATTCGAAAGTTAAATATATAGCTAATTTTTCTTCCCGATTGTGGTTACATGATTCATGTAGTTCATACAGCAACATAAACCATTAACCTTACATTTTTATCATTGAAATACGATATCAGTATTATTTGCTTGATGTTCTGCTATGAGAAAAACAATAAACATTAGATATAACGATAACGCATTTTATGGCCCCATCGTATAACTTCCAAATGTAACTGCCTCGGATATTTGATATTTTGAAACTGCTAACATTATCTAAAAAGATAGTATTGCATAGCTACAAAACTAGTTGAACACTATATAAACAAAATTGAAAATGAATCTAATCTCTTTTTACAGGAGACGAAGAACTAACTGTATCGAATAGGTGCTTCCATTTTATTCCAACTTCATAAATGCTTTAAACCATCGACTCACGTGAATTTTCCAACATTTTCATCAAAGCAAAAAAAAAAACAATTGGTTTCAAACCTATAAGCCACAATGTTCAAATTGAATGCGATGGTTTGCATGTTGCTGGTACCTTTAGTTGAATTGGTCCCAAGCAAAGATGTCAATAGTGATGATGAACTAATTTTCGTACATACTGTGAGTAATTTTATGTTCAAATTTTGAAAATGTACATGAATTCATTTGTGAAATATGGAAATAAAAACTATGAATCAGTTTTGCGTCAGAAATAAGGTTATAAATTTTATAATAATCACGATAAAAGAATGAACAATATAATCAAAAGTTTTTGAAAATATTTCAAATCTTATCAACAGGCTGTACTGCGTATGTCAAAATAATAATTGAAATTTCTTCCCAAGCACATCGGCCACACGCTTCACACTTTGTGGGACATGCACGTCGTGTAAATGGCGACATTGTGAATTTGATCGAGTATCTATTGTTTTCTCAATACCGCACACAAGCGATGCATGTCACATCAAGTATGAAGCGTGTGGCCGATGTAAAGTGTGTGGTTGATGTAATAAATTGATATGCGGATCAAATAAAAAGGTGCAAAAATGAGATAGAATTCAAACGGTCATAAGTCACGAGTCTTGAAAACAATCAGACATTTTTTCTCGCTTTTTGAAATGTTTAAATCTTAAACCTTTTTCTACATTTTCCTTTTAACACCAATTTCATTAGTGTGATGCAATTTCTTTAGAGGGTTTAGTATAGATACACAACATATAAAATATCTAACAGAATATAAAAATAAATTAATAATAATAATAATATTTATTTATTTAGATTTCTCCATAAAAAACAGCATTAACAATTAAAAATTTTCTTTGACGTATGTTTTCAACATTGTTTGGAATTGATTTGGAATGAAGTGTGTTGAATAATTTGAAATTGATATTCGCATACACAGCAAGAAACTTACTTTTTTTTCGTTCAAAGAAGTTTTTTGGTCGTTCACGTTTAATCTCAAAAATATATTGTGATGAGCAAATTTTTTTTCATTAGGTCTGCAGACACGGAGACAGAAACATTTATGAATCCTATCCAAATGACCCGTGGAAAGCAACAGAATTTCGGAAGGGTGGCTACGCTCAGCTTACAAACGTTCGTTGATTAGCAATGCATATGAAAAGGAGTTATATTTACTCTATCCCATTTAAAGGAAGGAAAGCAGCAACATTATCAGCTTGGACAGTACCTCCGCAAGCGATATTCAAGTCTTCTTGGAAATGGTGACTATTCGTCGGATAAGGTTTATGTTCGGTCAACGGATAGTGATCGTACTTTAATGAGTAGCCAAGCCTGTCTAGCAGGCCTTTTTCCACCGACAAACGATCAGATGTGGAATCCAAATCTGGAGTGGCAGCCGGTAAGCTCCCAACTTGAAAGAAAAAACAAACAAATTATTAACTAAACAGTTTTTAGTAAACACTTTCAGATTAATTTTTTTCGTTAGATTCCAGTTCACACTACGCCGCTTTCGAACGACTTTCTTTTGGCTTCTGATAGAAAATGCAATCATTTCGATTACATTATGCTGGAATACTTGAACTCAACTGAATACAAAAGCCTATTCAAAAAGTATAAAAATGTGATTAGATACTTGGAGAAGATGTCGGGCAAACAATTGCGCACATTGACGGATATCAATAACTTGTATGACACACTGCTCGTGGAACAAATGAAGGGCAAATGGTAAATTTATGTACTTTTTTGTTGATGAACTCTTCAGTTTTCGAACATTTGAAGTTAAATAGCACTTATTTGCACCTGCGTTTAGTATACCTGATTGGGCCGTGAGAGCAATGAAACCGTGTGGTGATCTTGAATATTTGGCCATTTTCTGGTTCAAAATCTTTACAGTGACGGACGAAATGAAAAAATTGAAATCTGGGTTCTTGCTGAAAGAGATTTTAAATCGATTTACGAATAAGACACAGTCGATACTGTCACCGAACCGTTTGTATTTATACTTTGCACATGACATCACGATATCAAATATGTTGAATACACTTGGACTTTTTAAGGTGGTGTGCCGTATTAGTCGATGATTGATCAATTTCAATTGAATTTAAAATTTTAATTTTAGTTACATCAGCCTCCTTATGCATCGTGCATCTTCTTTGAGCTATATAAATCCAACGGAAACCCCTATGTACAGATTTTCTATATGAATTCCGCCGAATTGGAGCATATCTGGAATCATCCGCTGGAAATTCCAAACTGTGGCACCAAATGTTCATTGACTGACTTATACGAATTATACCACGACGTACTGCCCACACAAAGTTTTGAAGAGGAATTTGTCTTGCGCGATGGCGAGATTTTGCCGCCAGATGGAAATCCTGAAAACAATTCCTTGTAAACAGATTTACAACTTTTGAACGTGCAATTCAAGTGTCCACCGTATTTTTTTTCGAATGTAGATGAAATAAATGCATCTCTTTAGACCAACTTCGTGGAATGTAATGAAAATTTTATATCATAAAACCAAACAGATTTACGAAAAGGCCAACTGAAATTATTCCCGCGAGAAATATAGAACAGGTGCATATTTCAAAGCCAGTTTTTAACGGTGTATTATTATAAAAAGAATTTACGCTTATTATAATGAAAGATATGTTTTTTCTTATTGGATTAGAAAAATATACTCCAATCTAGTATTTTCTGTTGTGGTTTTCTGTATTTTTCTTTGCTATTTCCATTGAAGAAGGTACATATTTATTTTGTTACGGAAATGCAGTAGAACTTTGGAAAAGTTAACTCATACAAAAGCTAATTTTTCAGAATTTTTTTTTCACTACTTGGACATTTCGGTTAGCTTTTCCGAGATTCTAATGTAATTAAAAAAAAACAATTAATTTGCATAAAAGGCCCATTTATTTTTCATCAAAATAGTTAGATTCTTTCATTCAATGGGTTGCCAGTAATTTATAATAGAACTGTTGAGGTGTAAGCAGCGTATGGTGAGGCAGCAACGTAGGGAGAAGCGGCAACATATGGTGATGAGTATGCCACATATGGAGATGTGCTTCCTACAAATTATGATGAAAAATTTTAGAAGAAAAGTTCGACAAAACATCGCCGAAGCTAAAACGCTTTAAATTGTAACTCACGTGCAAAATATTGACTTGATGAGGCCAATGGAGCGGCTACAACTGGAGCACTGTAGGCGATCACATCTGGTTTTGGTTTAGCACATACGCAGGCGACAACCATGAATACGAAGGCGATCTTTTCGAAACAAAGAAATAAAATGGTTCAATTAAGAAAGAAATCAATCGAATATTTGGTTCGATGTTTTTTTTTTTACTATAAAAATCACTCACGATTTTGAACATTTTGATGAAATTCGATGTTTAG